ATATAGTGTATGAGGAGGAGGGGGGGGGTTTATAATGTAATATAGTAGTTATTGTGTGTGGGCAGGAAGGGGGGATGAGGAGGTGTATAATTCCAGGGTGAGGGGTTGTATTATGAATCGGGGGGTATAATCATCTCTAACTGGCGTCCAATCACTGACAGAGGACAGTAACCCGGCGTCCAATCACTGACAGAGGACAGTAACCGGCATTGTGTTGTTTCCTTATTTCAGGTTTTGGAGAATTACTCAGACGCACCGATGACCCCAAAACAGATCCTGAATGTGATTGAGGCCGAGGGGCTGAAAGAGACAAAGTGAGTGTAATGTCCGTCCCCCTCCGATCAGATCCAGGAGCATAATGCGCAGGGGTCGGCTTCAGGGGTGTGGAGATTTAAAAAAAAAAACTACTTGTCCAAAGACTGAAGCGGGGGGCCGGTCTATTTGTGATCCCCGGAATATTCGTTACCAAAACTTTATTCACAACCGGAATTCTGGGCACAGGGCGGCACTGGATGCCAGTATGGGGTACAGCTAGTGCACCCGTATGGGGGGGGTTGGCCAGATTTGAGCGGGTAATTCAATGTGCATGGTGCGTGATAGAGAGCGCTGCTGCCCGGCTACCACAATTTGGCGCACAGTGGAATGGAAATTTTTCAATTTTTAAATGTATCGCTCTTTTATTGTTTATTTTTAATTTTTCTTTTTTTTTATCACTCCTTTTTATTTACTTTTATAATTATTGGTTGTTATTATTATATCACTAATGTGTTCTTTTCTTTCCTTCCTATATAATAATCATCGTCACCTACAGAAGGTAAGGAGGAGCGCACTGAGTGAGCTGTACAACTCTTAGGTCTACGGTGTATGTTTGTCCGTCCCTAGCCACCCCCTCCCCACTTTGACTGCAGGAGTCATTGCTGGGGTAACTCATGGTGTCTGGTCACATGACCAGCTGCCCTGGCACTGGCCATGTGATCTCTGCCGGAGCATAAGGATCTGAATCCACACTGGTACATAGTGTCCATTAGGTGGATTTACATAATTTAGTGCCCAGCTACAGAGGTCTCTGCAATGAACATGAGGAATGACATGCCAAGGCACACGGACTGTTGCTCTGTTATGTACATGCGCCCGGCCCTTTCAGGCCAGGTGGTGCGGGCACGGCCACCCATGATTCCAATGTTGGAATTGCCTGAATTTCTAACGCTCTATGGCCAGGTTCAGTGTGGAGGTTGCTCTTGCCTGGCTACTTATCCAATAGCTGCAGGACTCCATGCTTGTCCCATGTCAGGTGACGGGTACTGAGGCCGGAGACAGCCAGGGAAGTAGCATGTTCAGCCTGTTATATAACAAAGTGTGTGGCGGTGACAACCTCGAGCTGTTTGTTTTCATTTCCTGCGCACGGTGAACTGACGTGCGTCTCTTTTGTGCTGCAGCGGATCGTCCCCACTTGCTTGCCTGAACACCATGTTACATTCTAACTCCAGAACCCGAGAGGCTCTTTTCTACAAGCTCCCAGGACGGATCAGCCTGTTCACCATGAAGGTGAGTGTGGGCTGTGGTGACCCTGGGTACATTGGGGGGGGGCAGCATATCGGAGATGCGCAGCTGAAGTCACATGCAGAGCTTGAAGGTGGTGGAAAATGCTTTGCTGACCCGATTGTCCATCCCTTCTATCGCAGAAGAATGCAGTGCAGTGGTCTCGTGTTGTGTCGCTGCCTGAAGATGGGGACACAGAAGACACAGCGGATGAGGAGAGCAGCCAATGGAGCGAGAGCAACGCAGGCAATGCAGGTAAGTGTGCCACGCTGGGCAGGGTACCGGTACTTAAAGACAGTACAGGGTCTCTTTATCTGCACAAGAGCAATACTTCCAGAGCCAGACCTCCTTGTATTATCGCTGGTCACTTCTTGTCTTCACAGTGGAGTCCTCCGGAAGTGCGTCCTCTTCCCAAGAGTCTCACGTCAGGGAAACCAGGTCTCTGGTGCAGGTAATGGTGCTGTGCCAGGTGCGGGGGATATTTAGGGGTGCTGTTCTTTCTCTGTGACCCTGAGGTGCTCATCCCGTAGGTCAATAAGCAGAAAAGAAGAAGCGGAGTTCTGATGCCTCGTGTCGTTCTGACGCCTCTGAAAGTCAACGGGGCCCATTTACCGTCAACCTCGGGTGAGAGTTTGGTTTGGGTGCACACAATATACCTTTTTAGCTGTGTGTAGCGGTCATTACATGTTCCTTTCAGTATTTGTTGGCATTTCGTGGATATATTTACCACAAAGGTCACTAGCTGATGTTGTTTACCATTGATTGGGGGCATCAGTAGTGACACCTACCTGCCATAGTCCTGCCTGTGTACCCACCCTGTGGATGTGTGTCTGTGTTGATTATAGGAATGATTAAAAATCTATCATGGATGGTGGTAGCTCCTCGTAAATTGCTGGAGCTGGTGTGCGGGGCCTCGTAAGGGGCTGGAGCCGGTGTGCGGAGCCTCGTAAAGGGCTGGAGCCGGTGTGCGAGGCCTCGTAAAGGGCAGGCCCCGTGTGCGGGGCCTCGTGAAGGGCTGGAGCCGGTGTGCGAGGCCTCGTAAAGGGCAGGCCCCGTGTGCGGGGCCTCGTGAAGGGCTGGAGCCGGTGTGCGAGGCCTCGTAAAGGGCAGGCCCCGTGTGCGGGGCCTCGTGAAGGGCTGGAGCCGGTGTGCGAGGCCTCGTAAAGGGCAGGCCCCGTGTGCGGGGCCTCGTGAAGGGCTGGAGCCGGTGTGCGAGGCCTCGTAAAGGGCAGGCCCCGTGTGCGGGGCCTCGTGAAGGGCTGGAGCCGGTGTGCGAGGCCTCGTAAAGGGCAGGCCCCGTGTGCGGGGCCTCGTGAAGGGCTGGAGCCGGTGTGCGAGGCCTCGTAAAGGGCAGGCCCCGTGTGCGGGGCCTCGTGAAGGGCTGGAGCCGGTGTGCGAGGCCTCGTAAAGGGCAGGCCCCGTGTGCGGGGCCTCGTGAAGGGCTGGAGCCGGTGTGCGAGGCCTCGTAAAGGGCAGGCCCCGTGTGCGGGGCCTCGTGAAGGGCTGGAGCCGGTGTGCGAGGCCTCGTAAAGGGCAGGCCCCGTGTGCGGGGCCTCGTGAAGGGCTGGAGCCGGTGTGCGAGGCCTCGTAAAGGGCAGGCCCCGTGTGCGGGGCCTCGTGAAGGGCTGGAGCCGGTGTGCGAGGCCTCGTAAAGGGCAGGCCCCGTGTGCGGGGCCTCGTGAAGGGCTGGAGCCGGTGTGCGAGGCCTCGTAAAGGGCAGGCCCCGTGTGCGGGGCCTCGTGAAGGGCTGGAGCCGGTGTGCGAGGCCTCGTAAAGGGCAGGCCCCGTGTGCGGGGCCTCGTGAAGGGCTGGAGCCGGTGTGCGAGGCCTCGTAAAGGGCAGGCCCCGTGTGCGGGGCCTCGTGAAGGGCTGGAGCCGGTGTGCGAGGCCTCGTAAAGGGCAGGCCCCGTGTGCGGGGCCTCGTGAAGGGCTGGAGCCGGTGTGCGAGGCCTCGTAAAGGGCAGGCCCCGTGTGCGGGGCCTCGTGAAGGGCTGGAGCCGGTGTGCGAGGCCTCGTAAAGGGCAGGCCCCGTGTGCGGGGCCTCGTGAAGGGCTGGAGCCGGTGTGCGAGGCCTCGTAAAGGGCAGGCCCCGTGTGCGGGGCCTCGTGAAGGGCTGGAGCCGGTGTGCGAGGCCTCGTAAAGGGCAGGCCCCGTGTGCGGGGCCTCGTGAAGGGCTGGAGCCGGTGTGCGAGGCCTCGTAAAGGGCAGGCCCCGTGTGCGGGGCCTCGTGAAGGGCTGGAGCCGGTGTGCGAGGCCTCGTAAAGGGCAGGCCCCGTGTGCGGGGCCTCGTGAAGGGCTGGAGCCGGTGTGCGAGGCCTCGTAAAGGGCAGGCCCCGTGTGCGGGGCCTCGTGAAGGGCTGGAGCCGGTGTGCGAGGCCTCGTAAAGGGCAGGCCCCGTGTGCGGGGCCTCGTGAAGGGCTGGAGCCGGTGTGCGAGGCCTCGTAAAGGGCAGGCCCCGTGTGCGGGGCCTCGTGAAGGGCTGGAGCCGGTGTGCGAGGCCTCGTAAAGGGCAGGCCCCGTGTGCGGGGCCTCGTGAAGGGCTGGAGCCGGTGTGCGAGGCCTCGTAAAGGGCAGGCCCCGTGTGCGGGGCCTCGTGAAGGGCTGGAGCCGGTGTGCGAGGCCTCGTAAAGGGCAGGCCCCGTGTGCGGGGCCTCGTGAAGGGCTGGGGCCGGTGTGCGGAGCCTCGTAAAGGGCTGGGGCCGGTGTGCGGGGCCTTGTAAAGGGCTGGAGCCGGTGTGCCGACATGGGAACTTGCTGCAGACATCTCACCAATAGTCTGCAAGAGATAGAGGAGACCGTAGTTTAAATGGTTTGCTCCACCCAATAATACGGTTTCCATTTTTGGTAAATGCTGAAGATAAACCCATTGGTAGTCTCCTCTGTCTTTTAGGGACTCTGTTGCCGAGTTCCCAGGTCTGCAGTGCCCATTATGAGGGGCTCCCACCATTTCTGCTTGGTGTTCTGTTCTGTTCTAGAAAACATAACGGGGGAGAACAAACTCAGAACTTCCATTGGGCCTAACAGGCCCCGCCTCATAACTGGAAGATGTTGGAGGACTAACCCTTTGAACTTCGGGCTTCACTGACCCTTTAGCCCTCTCAGCTGTAGGCCATCGTGGTTGAATCCTTATGGCTGATGATGTCACACTTTGGTGTGTCATCTGTCTCAGAGTGATCTCTACTTAAGCCAGCTGTGACCACTTGAAGTAGAACTTTGACCTCCCATTAAAAGATAAGCCACGGCGCCTAATTGTTGTGTTTTCTCTTGGTCCTCTTGTAATATTCCATTAAGCCCCCCAGTGAAGTCCACCTAATGATGGGGTGGCAACAATGCCGCACTGCTCTTATTTTCCCAGCGTGAGACACAAATGAAGGATTTGTCTGGGTCAGGGGAGGTAAAGGAAGTTTTGTGTTAGTTATGTGGCTTGTAGAGTCATACATGAGCCTATAGTGACACATTAGGTATTTGATAACGCTGTCTGATGTTCTCCATTGTGTCTCAGGCTTGTCTGTTCGTCGTGCAGAGGGCGAGTCCTCCAGTAACCGAACCATAGGGAGCAATTTGACCTTTCACAGACGTGCAGCACTGAGTGGAAACTCCACGCGTCATCTCAGAAGTATGAAGAGTTCCCCGGTAACAGGTACAGCGGAAACTTTTTTGCTGTTGCGACAAAACTGTGTTTTCCACTGCAGTGAAATGAGAGCGCAGCTTAAAGGACGTCTTCTGTCTTCTTGTCGCAGGGCAAGTGAAGAAGAACAAAGAAGAAGAGATTGATTTCGAAACCCCGGGTTCCATTCTTGTGAACACCAACCTTCGCGCACTGATCAACGTCCGGACGTTTAATGCGCTCCCACACAATCTTCAACAGCAGCTGCTCCTCCTACTCCCGGAGGTGGACAGACAGGTAATCGGCATCACTCCTGTACACGGGGTCTCCATAATACATTTCCGCATTAGCAATCCTGTGGGGGCGGAAGCGTTCGCATCTATACTTCTCCTGTCCCTTACCCAAGGAGATGGTGGTGGCACGCTCAGCGAGATCTGAAAATGCTGAGTATCCGAAATCAGGAGCATCTTCTCGTAAAATTTGGGATACTTGGCATTCTCCAGGGTCTCCCTAGCACAATGGTGAGGTCACCCTGGTCTGGGTGGTGTGGGAGGAATCCGGGGGTAAGCTAAGTGTAGCTATTTATTCCCCCTCCCTCCATAGTCTATAACAAAGAGACAATGTACACAAGTACTGTCGATTGGCTTTAACATCACTGCATGTGTTTTTCTTTAGGTCACTCCAGACGGACAGATGAAGATGAGTGGCAGTGCCCTAAATAATGAGTTCTTTGCCCACGCCTGTCAGAGATGGAGGGAGAGGCTGGCAGATGGTAGGTTATTTGCATGCTCTGCCATAAACTGTCCACAGCTGCATATTTGGTTATGGACGCCGGCAGAGAGAGGAGGGGACGTTCACCCGGCTGGATGAGGTATACCTCATCCCGCCGGGTCCCCATCTCTCTCCTGACACTCTCGGTCCATGGCAGAGTGCCCGACTTTAGAGGGGGTGACACCAAAATGACAGTCATTTTTGTTGTCACCCCTCCAATGGTGTTACCCAGGTGCGGGGCCGCACCCCCCTTGTGACGCCACAGGCCACCGTTAAAGTGAACCTGTTGCTGTGGCATGCACAGGAAAAGGAAAGTGTTCCTGTAAGCCTATTTTGTGCAGTATCATGTTGGAGAATAGGGGTGCAGCAGCACCCCTGTCTGCACCATAAGTCCTTTCAATCGTTTCCGTTACTTCTCAATTGTCAACTAAAAAATCCGGGCATTCAAAACACTTTGGGTTCATTTGTCAGGCCTGAAACGTAGCCTGGTGTTGTACTTCATTGCCAGCTGGACCAGTCACGTTGGTTCGGCAGGGGTATTGAGACCCTCCTAAAGACCGGCGGAGGTGGGAAGGGCAGTAAGATGGTACCTGCTCTCCCGGAGTCCCTCTACCTGCACAAAGCTGACAACCTCTCTCTTGTCCTATGTTGAGGTCTTGGTAAGTCGCTGTCTTTCCCTGCAGGTGAATTTACACCAGAGATGCAGCTGCGAATGAGACAAGAGATGGGCAAAGAGAAGAAGGTGGAAGATTGGAAGGAGAAGTTTTTCGAGGACTTTTATGGGCAGAAGTAAGTAGCTGTTGGCATGATCATTTGGGGACAGAGTCAGTAGGTCATCTATACGTTCCCCACCTGCTTTTTCTAACGTTCATTAGGTGACCGTTGCGGGTCCTCATTTGAAATCAGTTGCTGCATTTAGAAGAGTGGAATGAATGATTCTGTAGACCTGTTTATATGGACTGTTCTGAAACTAAAGAGTAATGCTTGTATTTTGTTGTAGACTTGGACTGTCTCAGGATCCAGGTTCAGACCCAGACGAGAAATGCAACCAACCTGACTCCACATGTGAAGCTCTACAGAGGACCAGCCCGGTGCCTATTCACGTTGAAGAATCCCTTCCAGAGATTCGGGGCAGACTGCGGCGGAGCCTGTGCAGAAACAGAGAGAGATTGCAGCAAACCCTTCCAATGGCTTCTAAAGCAAAAATCTCCTCCTCTCCTCCTCCTGCTCCTCCCAAGGCAGCCGAGGATGCCAGCCCAGCTTCCGAGAACAGACTGTCCCCCGCGGAGGCCGTAAACCTTCCATCCACTTCTGACCGGGTCCCAGAGCTTCATCCCGAGAACTGCGAGCAGAAAAGGAAGATCGCCGATCCCGAGAGCTCCAGCGCCTCCTTCGAGAAGAAGCCGCGAATGGAACAGCGTCAGTCCTTTCGTAACACAATTACAAGTGTTCACCCAGAAAAGCCACAGCCCACCAAAGAAGAACCAAAAGTCCCCCCAATCCGGGTATGATGACGTCCTTTGTGTCTGTTATATGTTTGGTGTGGGTGGAGCTCTGCTGCAGTGTATAAATTAGGGCTGCGCTGATACCGATACTGGTATCGGTGCCGATACCGAGTATTTGGGCGAGTACTCGTAATTGCCCAAATGCTCCGATGCCTAGCCCGATACTTCCTGTATCAGGAAGCCGGGCAGCGAGAGAGTGTGACGAGAGAGCATGGAGCCATCTTCCCGGCCAATCAGGAAGCCGGGCAGTGTGTAATGACGCAGTGCCGGTTTTCTGATTGGCCGGGAAGACGGCTACATGCTCTCTCATCACAAGGGAGCATGGAGCCGGCTTCCTAGCTAATCAGGAAGCCGGGCGCCGCGTCATTACACGGCGCCCGGCTTCCATGATTGGTCAGCAAGCCGGCTCCATGCTTTCTTGTCGCATGGGGACGGCTTCCTTGCTAATCGGGAAGCCGGGTGGCGAGTCTTTACAAACCGCCTGGCTTCCTGAATGGGACTTCGGGTACTTATTTTTTTCGGTACTCGCCGATACCGAATGCTATCAGTACCGAAATACTGGTATCGGTGCATCCCTAGTGTAAATGTTCTAAAGACAGTAGGATACCCACAAAGGGTCCAATTCCAGTGCAGGTAACTAGTTTAAAGGGAACCAGTCATGAAGGAAAGAACATGCCCTGTGGAGGTCTCTTACAAGAGCTGTGACTTCTGGTCTCCTGCTGGAGAATATTGGTATTGCAGGGCAGCTATAGGATGCAGTCGGTTTGTATCCAGGGCCCTGCATGTATATTGTGGAGCTGCAGACTACAAAATGTTGTGGTGGACAGTGTCACAGTCCTTCACAGAAACATTTTTACCTAACTCAGCTAGTCTTAGGATTGACACAGGCACATGATGCAGTTTTTGATAGTTGTGGATGATGTTGCTGGACCTTTTGATTTAACTGTCTTCCCTTACCTTGCAGATCCAGCTTTCTCGCATCAAACCTCCCTGGGTGGTTAAAGGTCTGCCAGCTTACCAGATCTGTCCCCGGATCATCCCAAACCCTGATCCCCCTGGGTGCCAACTTACTCCCTGCTCACCTGCTGACAGTCAGACCAGTGGCCATGACCTCCAGACTTCCATCGGTGGTGGCGGGGGTCCGGGGGGAGGTCACAGCGACAGGGAGAAGAGCAGCTGGTCCAGGGACTCCAAAAGGAGGAGATCAGCAAAGGGAAGCCATGGAAAGAAGCCAGCAGATTGCTGCAGAACACAATTACTGCCGTCCGCTATAGTGAGGGACTCGGCAGACAAACCTCAAGTTCCTCGAGTCAAAATCACTTGGACAAACAGTTCTCCAGAGACAAAAGAGCATGGCCTCTCTGGCACAACGGTGACCAAAGAGTGGCACGTCAACGAGGTGGTCTCTGGCGAGGTCGGCTCTGGTGCCCCATCTTTGGATTACTGTAAGGGTGAGACTCCTGATAAAGCTGCAAATATCTGTGATAAGGAGGATCCTATGGATGTCAAAGGGGGAGAAAATGTCAGAGTTGGCCGGCCGGCTTCCGTTCTAGTCGGGGATTCCATGGGTCAAGGGAACTTTGGACAATCCGAAACCGTGTCCTGTGTTCTCGGCGATGTGTCCAATACTTTTCAGAACAGAATTAAGCTTGTCAACTCAAGCTCAACCGAAAAGGATTCTTCTGACAAAAATAGTGAAAGTGTCATGGAGTCCTCACAACCAGACCTCCAAGAGGCCACAAATCCACCCGCTGTTGAATCACAGCCGGCCAGCACCTCAACCGACAACGAACATTGGGACTGTGCTACCGGTACTGAACCAGGTCCTTGTAAGTCCATCAACATATCGCATGTTCTGGATGTACGGGAGTCTGACTTGTGGGACGGTGCGGAACAAAATCAGACACCCAAGTTGATGGGGTCTCCTCGCTCGCCGTCATGTGCTCCTGTCCAAACCACTGATGTCTCTTCCCTGCAAACGGACTTGAACTTTGAAAACAAGGTTGAAGATGCTTTACCTCCCAACGGCCTCAACGAGTGTCTCAAGGGTTCTTTGCCCCTGGCCGATCCTGCCGGTGACGTTCCCAAGGAACAAGTGTCGGAGTGTCCCACCTTAATCTCCAAAGATGCATATTTGTGGGCAAACGCGAGTGAAGAGCCGCCAAGGTCTTGCTCGCGCCCCGGCGTCCCAGCTTTCGAAGCGTTATTCCCGGAAGAAGGGGTGATAAATAAAAGGGGCGCATTAAAGGTCGAGAAGCATAGTTCTCATAGTATTGGTCTTTCTACCGACTCGGGACTCTTCCAGGGAGACGCAAAGCTGCGAAGAGGCCAAAGCGGGGGCGTGAAGCAGAAGCGCTCGCTGGCCAACTACGCCGAGCCCGTCGGCAAGGAACCTTTGCTCTTGGATATGCCGTTCGGCCCGTTTCCGAAGGAGGTCGATCTCCACGTCAAGCTGCCGATGGATTTGCTGTCGCTACCGCCGCCGGGCAAATTGAAACAAACTTTATTCGGCAAGCTGTCGAAGCAAGCGCAGGATGTGGCGTCCTACTGCTACTCGACCGGGGTGCGCCTCTCCTCCTTTCCCGGGGAGTACGCCGTCACTGGCGAGGCCTCCTTGTCTGTGGAAGTCTTCGCCGAGCACGATAGCGGGGAGCACGTGTCGGTGCACTACTCCTGCAGCTTTAAAGCCATGACCGTTTGCGAAGGGTGCGGAGCGTTCTGTCACATCGACTGCATAGGCCCCTCCAAGCTTTGTGTTTTGTGCCTTGTCATAAGATAGTAAAAAGGTCGCCGGGGGGACGTTCAATAGTACATTGTCTGTATTTTCATAACCTCGGAGCCCGGAGGTGATTTAATACGTATTATGCTTCATTTTGTTAGAGACTAAACCGCTGATGATTATTATTATTATTCAGCTCTTCTTGTGATACAGATCCCGTTGAAGAGGCAGTAATGCGAAAGAGCTAGGAACCGAGGTGGCGTTCCTCTTCGTTCTTGGACATAAGTTCTGTAGGACCGGTCTCGTTTCATGTTGTAGTCTATACCAGGGGTGGGCAACCTCGGTCCTCCACCTGTGGTGCTATTGCATGACTCGGTCACCCACAAGCATGTCTCCCAGAGGCATAGGCCTGCTGGGAGTTGTAGTTTTGCCACGGCTGGAGTTTGCCTAACCCCGGTCTATAGGATCTCGACAGAGCCGTTTGGGAGACGTAGAAAGTCAGATTGTTGATGAGCAATAAGAAAAGGTTTCTGGGTACAGGACCATGAGGTCCCCCTGGGTGTAGAAGGATGATGAATATGTTGGCTTCCATGCCTGCTTTTTAAGATAGTATGTTTATTTTTTTTTGGGGGGTGCAGGTTAGTGAGCCTCCTTTGCATTATCTTGTGCAGAGGTTTTGCTTCAAGGATAGAAAAGATGACTACAGATGTTTGTGGGTCATGACCCAATGCTCTGTCTTCTCAAAGCTTCTTGTTGGTGTGACTCACAATTTGGGCGACTTTGATGCCCTACTGAGCACATGACCGGGCAGAGCAGTGAAGGCACAGGCTTGGTTAGTAAGGATTATGGTGTTTGGAGGAAAGAACAACTGGAAGAGTGTATGATGAGGGTCAACACAAAGTCCCGGCTCTCACTTCAGAGGTGCCTCTGCATAGAGAGTCGGGGTTCCTGTTGCTGAAGGAGGCTCTGCACTGACGGTCGGGGTTCCTGTTGCTGAAGGAGCCTCTGCACTGACGGTCGGGGGTTCCTGTTGCTGAAGGAGCCTCTGCATTGACGGTCGGGGGTTCCTGTTGCTGAAGGAGCCTCTGCACTGACGGTCGGGGTTCCTGTTGCTGAAGGAGCCTCTGCACTGACGGTCGGGGTTCCTGCTGCAAACAAACTGCACAGGAACATGTTTTGATGAATAGCGAGCTGATAAAGTTTCGAGGTGTTGAGCTCTGTTAATCACTTAGGTCCCTGGTGGTGGTGGTGGTGGAGGGTTTAGAGGCTCCACTTTTGCGCCTGGTTTTTGGTATTCAGCCACACGGCGTTTCCGTCTACCACGATTAGACTTTGTGGTGCATGCAGCCCTCCCGGTCTCTGCGGGCTGTGCACAGTATTGAAAAAGTTTATTGTATTTTGGCAGTCACTCTTGAAGCATTACTGCCTCTTCAACCCTCCCCAAGTACAGTTCAAGCTGTGTGGGGGGGGGCGCTTCCCCGGCCGTATGTGTGACGGCAGGGATCACGGTCAGTGTTCAGGGGGGGGGGCTTGGGGGGGGCCGGGGGGGGGGGAGTGT